TGATCAGAGAGCATGAATGGAAGCAGACATTTTCTGCACTGTTTTGCATAATTTTTCACTTCTTTAAATGATGAAAGATCATGCAACAAGAATCTACAGAAACATGCCAAAGCATAGAAGCCAAAAGGAAAGGATACAGGATTCCATGTAAGCAAAGCCCCATCTAATTACTTGACAGCACTCCCAATAAATCCTACATGGGTTTAACTGGGAAACCAAGATTAAATAAACCTATTAAACCTGTTAAATAATAGTACACCACCCACCACATTAACCAGGAGAGAAAAAATTCTGCAAACCAGCAAATTATCTAATGAGCATCTTAATTACGCAGATTCTTCTTCTAAGATGTACACTCTCCTATGAATATGTAGGTAACTAAAAACAAAACTTGGAAACAAAGCTTGGACTGGCCCTTTTTATGCTTAGCTGTGGCTTGTTTTAAACAGTATTCCTCAAAGTGTTCCATGGGCCCGTTTTGGGAAAGCTACTAACAGGCCCACACGGCCGTATTTACCTAAAATGTCCATAACCATGGAGCCCTGCAGCTCCCATTGGCTATAGTTCGCTGTTTCCAGCCAATGGGAGCCATGGGACTCCATGGCTACAGACTTTTGAATGCTAGTATAAGGATAGAGACATTCCCAAGGCCCCTTACTGGACAAATCCCAATAGAGAGGAAAGTGGGTGGGTCATGACATAGACATGTGCAACATTTATGAAGAACAATTGTTATAGAAAAGTAAGTAACTGTTTTTTCTTCTTTGAGTACTTGCACATATCCAAGCCACTGCAGGTATTCACGAGCAGACAAACATAGAGATGGGCTTGGTGTGCGCCTGACCTGTACTAAGAAAACCTACTGAAAACTGGAATTGTCCCTGGATTGGCATAATTGGCAGAAACGGCATAATTTAAAACAAAAGTGTGCACACATGATCAAGTTGCCACTTCACAAATGTCTATGACAGGTACTTGTGCCAAGAAAGATGTAGATGTTGCCTATGTTCTAATAAAATGTGCCAATACCTACCTGGTAAGGTTATATTAGCCAAACAGTAGCATAAACAAATGCATGAAGAGATCAAGGAAGAAATCCTCTGAGTAGCCATTGATCTGTCTTTAGCTCTGTTCACATTTGCAATGAACAACAGAGGTCTAAAGGACTTAGTATGTTCCAGACAGAAAGCAAGAATCCTTCTCATATCCAGTGAATGCAGTCTCTTGGGGGGGAGGGGGGTTGAGGAGGAGAGGGAGAAAGAAAAAAAGGGGAAAATAAGAAAACAAAAGAAAGAAGACAAATAGACTGTCTGGTTAATGTGAAAATTAGAGACTACCTATGTGAGAAATTTTGGATGAGGGAGAATATAAATCTTATCTCTATGGCAAATTATGTAAGGAGGGCCTGTTACTATAGCTTTTAATTCTCTCACTATTCTGGCCAAGGTAATGGTCCCAAGAAATGTTGCCTTAATATACAGGTGCAGCAGAGAGCAGGCTGCACAGTGCTCAAGAGCTGGTTCCATGAATTTTCTTATAATCACAGAATTCTAGAACTGGAAGGGACCTCGAGAGAGCATTAAGTCCAATCCACTGCCCTCATGGCAGAACCAAACACCTTCTAAGACCATCCCTGAAAGATGTCTATCCAAACTGCTCTTAAATATCTCTATTCAGGAGATATTGGCTGCTCCTGGGAGTGGTACGTGGCCAGGGAAGGCAGGGAGTCTGCCTGAGCAGCAGCCCTGCTACACCACCAAAGAACAGCAGAGACTGGGAGAGTCCCCAGGATAGACCAGTCAATTGCGATTGACTGGTTAGTGACCACTGCGTTAGCCTGTCACGTTACTGGATTTTAGGTGAGCAGCCAGGTCACTGCTGTGCCCATGGGGGGGTGTTTGCCCGAAAAGTTGGTACAAAAGTGGCCATGTGAGGTGTCAAACAAAAGCGGATTCTGTATATGCTCTTCATATATCTGTATAATGTCTGTGTGTGAAGTTGTAAATATGTACTCTGTGTTGATGCTGAAAGATTCTCTGTCTGAGGCAGAGCAATGGGCCGGGAATGTTTGCCCATAGACATGCTAATGAGCAAAGCCCCAGGGAACAATGGACCTCTGGAGACCAAAGACACACCTGGCCACTGGCCATGTGATTCACTCCAGCTTGGAAGAAGCCAAGAGGGGATATAAATAGGCCAGGTGGCCGACTCCATCTTGGTGCTCAGCTCAGCTCTTCATCCCAGAGGCAAGAGTGCAGGGATCGAGGAGCCAGAATGAACAGTGGACCCATCTGACATAGGATGTACACCAAAGACTTTTAAGCCAGCAGTTATAACATCTCTGCTGCAAGCCTGCATCAAGAACTGGGAGATTCAATGCATGTAATGTATGATAATTTAACAACCTTACTCTCGTGCTTTTCTTTCTGGTAGTAATAAACCTTTAGATGTTAGATTTAAAGGATTGGCTCAGCGTGGTCTTGTGGGTAAGATCCAGAGGGTAAACTGACCTGGTTGGTTTCTTGGAACCGGACAGAACTTGTTCGGGGTAGATGAGATTGGGTCTTAAAACCCCTCACCTGTGGGAAAGCCCGGGGCTGTTTGGGGCACGGAGAGAGCTGGGCTATCAGAGGGGTTTTGCTCGTGAGGCTTCACGCTGGCCAGGCAGGCAGCTGAAGTGCTCTGTGGGAGTGGTTTGTGGCCTATTTGGGAAGGTCTCCAGTCTAGGGGCTGTAAGGAATCCCTAGTTTGAGCAATTCGCCCTGAGCGGATGCCCTCAGCGGTGCCCAGACCCGGCCCGGCCCGTCACATAGCCCATCAGCTGAGCAGGTCCTTTTCCAATCACCATAACTAGCTGAACTTGTCAGGACCAAGTTCAGATCCCAAGGAGGTATGGGATTTTGCATGTGTGGGTACAATCTGACCAAACCGTTCAGAGGTCTGCTGGTAATGGGTTTGGAGAAAAGGGATCTACTATCCACTGAAACGTGGAAGGCTGAACTGCCCTGCCAAATGCACTCTTATAGAACTAACAAACAAACTTGTAGATATAGAATACAATCCACTATGAAGTTCTGGGAGCCCACCCTGGAGATGTGCCTTTCTGATGGTACCAACACATGGAAATGCCAGGTAAGTGTTCCTAGTTGAGGGTTTTTTGCTATTTAGAAGAACTTTCTGAATGTCCCTTGAACCGGATCTCTCAAATGGTGCTAACTATGAAGTACCTACACTATAAAATTAAGGTCTCAGAGGCTAGGACAGTGGGTGCCTGTGGACCAGAGAAATGATGTCTGGATCTAACAGGAGAGACAGTGGAGGCTCGAATAGATGAAGCCATGCTAGTGCTATAAGGATGAGGCAAGCATGATCTCATTTGACTTCCAATAAAAACCAGGGTAACAAAGGAACTGGAGGAAAGGTATAGAGGAAAGAATTCTTCCAGAACAGAAGAAAAGCACCTGTCAGTGAGCCTGGGCTGAGACCTCCCAGGGCACAAAGCTGATGTCATTTTCTGTTTGGTTTTGTTGTAAACAGACCACTTGGGGAGTTCCCCAAAGCCGGAAGATAGGGTATTCCCAGACATGGGCAAATCCTTCTCAGTGATGAGCGCTTCTTTCCTGAACAAGGGGAGGGATAGCTCAGTGGTTTGAGCATTGGCCTTCTATACCCAAAGTTGTGAGCTCAGCCCTTGAGGGAGCCATTTAGGGATCTGAGTCAAATCTGTCAGGGATGGTACTTGGTCCTGCCGTAAAGGCAAGGGACTTGACTCGATGACCTCTCAAGGTCCCTTTCAGCTATATGAGATAGATATGCTAGGCAGAGCCTCTAACTTCACTTGACTTCAGTACCAACACACTCAATAGAAGATCTAACTTGAGGAAGGCCCAAGGTTTTTTCTTTGGCATCAGCAAATGGCTGATGGGTTTATGAAGTGGATAGTTTGATGAGGTAACATGATCTTGGCAATTAACTGACCTTTCACTATCAGGGTAAATAGGCCAATGGTGGGAAGATAGGAGTTACTATAGAGAACTTTTTTCTGGGTGTCTGGTTGGTGAGTCTTGTCCATACGCTCAGGGTTCAGCTGATTGCCATATTTGGGGTTGGGAAGGAATTTTCCTTCAGGGTAGATTGGCAGAGGACCTGGAGGTTTTTCACCTTCCTCAGTAGCATGGGGCACGGGGCACTTGCAGGAAGATTTTCTGCAGTGGGTGGGTGAGATTCTGTGGCCTGCATTGTGTAGGGGGTCAGACTAGATGATCATAATGGTCCCTTCTGACTTTAAAGTCTATGAGGCATCAAGCAGCTACAGACATCTCTGCTGGGCTGCTCCATACCAAAGCTGATGTAAATGGGCTGCTTTTCCCATGTGATGACCCTGAAGAAGGGCAAAGCAACTCCTCCATAGGAAAGTACCCAAGTTTTGCTGCTCTGTCTTTTTGCAAGCAGGGCTTGAATCCTTTACAAACGTGATATTAGTAAATAATGTGGGATTCCTTCTAACATCTGAAGCAGGCTGGGGTTTCTGACTGGCAGAAGCTTAGTGGAAGTCCAGCAGGCGTAAACGCTGGTGTTCCAGTACTGATCCTGGTATTGCAAGATAAAGACTGGCCAAAATAGACCTAAAATGAAATCGAGCACTAAAAACTAGCTAAAACTAACATTGAACAACAACAGGATATAAAATATACACAAAAGGAGTGAGGGAAATACTTTTTACAAGTCTGGACTCATTCTGATAACTATCACAGGTATCAAGAAGGAACAGGGAGGGGAGGCGGGCTAACTCTGTCCTCTTATACAGTATGTAGTGGCAACAGAGGGCACTCAGACCACAATGACAGGTTCTTCTGACAGTACCAGTTGTTGATATTTCTCCATCAACTGTGCACAATGTATGCATGTGCCTACTGTGCAGTGGACATGCGCAACATCTGAAAGAAGATTAAAAGTGTTATGAATCAGTATCAAAGATCAAGCTTGAAGAATCAACTCACCACATGTTATGTTCAAAAACTTTAGTAGGATCAGTTAAAATCCGTGACCCAAGTGGAGCAATTGGTCGTCTGCTACTTTGGCATCTCTTTTCCTTTGGCATCATCTTACTTTTCCTCAGATATGATGCAGATAGCCTTTTAATGACATTCATTTTCATTACAGACCTGTAAAAACACAATCCACTGAAATGATAGCTCTGCTAGAACTTATTTGTATATGCCACTTACAAGAGACTTTGGCCAAGTTGTCAAGCTGCATATGGCTTTAACGATCCAGCATTTTTTAGTCAATTAAAATATTTTTTTTAAATTTTGACATCTTTTAAGAGTGCTGGAAACCCAAATAACCCAAAATGTGCTACTGCTACATAGGGGGTAGGAGGTAAAACTTGTCAATTTCTACTTGCAAAGTCCAATCAGACAGTGATAAAAAGTCACACACACACTGGTGAATAAGTATTTTGTTTTTCCATTTGAAAAATGTAAAATGTTATTAGTAATCAAATCAACAAAATTATTTTTGGATTATTTTGTTTTTATCTTGATGCTGTCTCTTTAAAAAATAATCAAAAACTGATCTGAGAGCAAACTATTTGTTCTAGTGGAAACATATTGTTATTCTGCTTGACATTTTTCACCTCACTCAGTAGGTTACAGTCTTCAAAGGATTTCATTCTAAAGCGGTTACCGTGGTTTCACTCTTTAAAATAGAAAGTGAAAGATTCAGAAATGTATTATATACAGTATAAATATGACACATTTCAAAAATGTCTACTGCATAATGTAGTAATCTGTATTCACTGCCTCATGTGAACTGAATGTTTTTAGATGTTAATGCTACATCCACATGAATTATAAAGTGCTTGAGATTTTTCTATTAAACATGTAATTCTAACTTTACACCACTGTATTTCTATATTATATATACTCAAAAATGTTAACTCTAAATCCGTTAAAACAAGTCTAATGAGCAAAGATGAGAAGTATGCTGCAGTTAGTACCAGAATTCTGTCTTGGTAGGGCTTTGTTTTGGAGGGGTTCTTTTTGTTTTGTTTTTGTTGCTGTTGTTTTGTTTATTTGTTTGTTTGTTTGTTTTTGTTTTGGTTATGTCCCAGTTAATGCAAGCTCTTTTTTTAGGAGAGGAATAAAAATTAAATGGTCCTCCTCCTATTTTTACTCTGATGTCTCTTTGTTCTTTTCTCCTTCAAGTACTCTGCATATAACAAAAAAAATGCTAAGTGTCATTATTTTAGAGTGCTCTCTCTGTATACAGCATGCATGTAAATCTAAGTCATGTAGCACTGAGAACACAAAATGTACTTACAAAGAAGCAGGCACTATTAAAATGCAAACATTCTCTGTGAGCTGGCTAAAAAATGAAGATTTTTATCTTAAGGAAAAAAATCAGTAATGATTGACCACGAGTCTTGCAAGGTGAACAAAAAAAGATTCATTAACATGAACATGTCTACACAAAGTTTTGTAAAGGAATCAGTTAAATAATTTAAACAATTCCTCAATTAAGGTATGCTTGTGAATAATTAATCATTTAGAAATGCTATTGTTTATTCATTTTAAGCCTTTAAGAAAAACAATATTAACATGTACTTGTACTTGTCTGAAGAGTTAAAAACAGTTGTTGTTTTCCTGTGTCAAATACAGTGGTACATCAGGGCTGCTGTACCTTCTCTCTAAAAGCTCCTTTATCAATAGATAGGTGCCCCCTTATTGCAACGTATGATTTCACAGGGTGAAGATATAGTACGTAATCATATAACACCTAATTTTTTTTTATCAAAACCACTCCCAATTTGATCAATTAACTTTGTCTGGTGGCAACATATTTGGGTAACTAAAATGATCACTCTAATTTACTAGCGGGCTGAGCCCTATGCTCGCTACGCTTGCCAACCCCCCTCACTCTGGCCGCTTTCTGGCCCTTTCAGAGGGTGAGAGCATGATGATGTCATTCTGTCACCCAGCAGGAAAAACTTTTTTTTAAATGTATAGAGACAATTAAACCGCTGCAAGAAAATCAGTTAGACTGTGATTCTGTAAAAACTTACACATCCATGATTTAATAGTCTATTCATTGGGACTAGGACTACCCGTGTATAAAGTTAAGCATGGATCAGGCCTTAGGTAGTTTATGTAGGATCAGGCCTTAGGTAGTTTATTTTATTTACAATAAAACAACAGATTCATATCCTGATAAAACTTACATATAGATTGCACAAAAAAGTTATTAGAAATGCTTCTGTACAGTTGCTAGGATTAAAAATTAATATACTCACTGCTTCATAATGTGAAATTTATATTATGGTAAAATTAATATTATTCAAAAATTCAAAAAACAAATCAAATCCCAAAACCAAACTGTGACCTCAAATTATTAACAGATTATACAGGTGCTTGGAGGCAAATTACATTATTACATTACATACTGTTTCAAAATCAGTTCCTTCTTCATTTTCTTGTCAAGGCCCGAATTCATGCCCTGAATTTTCTTTGCTACAGTTGATATTCAATACCGAATAATTATTCAGAGACTAGGCTAGTCACATAATTTTGGTTGGCTCTCTATCTCATTAAGAACATGAAAAGATGCACAGATGGGATATACAGACAGGTGGCTAATATGATTTGGCATAAGTAACAGGTGAAACATTGGAATTTGTATGAGAATTTGACCTTTGTAGGAGAATTTGTAGCTGACTAATTGCGAAGCCTGCAATATTCAAAACACTGAAAGGATATAGAGGAAAAACAAGTGAACTATGGAAGCTAGAATTGATAAGAATGCAGAAGAAAGCCATGCTTAGCACTGACTCACTGATGGATCAACTGATCATGTGATTAATGGACAGTGCAGCCACTAAGAATAAAATTTCAAAAAGTACCTAAGTGATTTAGGAGTCTGAATCCCATTTTCAAAGGTGATTCATCACTCAATTGCTTCTTTAATTCATTAAAGGTCTATTGAAAGGGGTAACTACCACTTTGCCAGATATCTGCACACTGTGGCTATGTCTAGAATGCAAGCCTCTTTCGAAAGAGGCTTTTTCGAAAGATACTTTCGAAAAAGCCTCTTTCGAAAAAGAGCGTCTAGACTGCAAGCGGAATTTTCGAAAAAGCAAGCCGCTTTTTCGAAAGAAAGCAGCGAGTGAGTCTGGATGCTCTCTTTCTAAAAAGCCCTGTTGGCATTCAAGAATGCCTTTTCTCGAAAGAGCACTTTCGAAAAAAGGCGTTCTTCCTCGTGAAATGAGGTTTACCGCCGTCGAAAGAAAAGCCGCATTCTTTCTATTTAATTTCGAAATTAAATAGACCTGCAGTCTAGACGCAGGTGAAGTTTTTTCGAAAAAAGGCTACTTTTTTCGAAAAAAAACCCTGAGTCTGGACACAGCCTGTGGAATTGACATCAGGGAATGTTTTAATGTGTTGGTTATTTGATATAGAGCCACAGCCAGTAATAAGCAAAATGACTGTACACTTGATCATAATAGCAATAATAATCAAGCCTCCATTTAAAAACCCTTCATCTTCCCAGAAATTACCACCCACAAGATTTACATACAAAATTACCAACCACAGGAAGCAGCGCCATTCACCCATCAAAAACACACTAGAAAAGGAGTAGAAATTGTCCTTCCTGTGAAGTAATGTGTTTAAGCTTTTAGAGGTTATCAGTCAGATGTTCTCCTTCTGACTATAATCTTGAAGACCACAGACTCTGCCTCAGCTGAGCTAATGGAGGAGATTCTTAAAAAGAAAAGAAAAAAAGCTACAAACTCAGTGCAGCTTACTCAAAGTGCAAACACAGAGAAGCTGTTATGTGTAACTGTCAGTTGAACTGGAAAATACTATTTTTTAAAACTGAAGTTGGCATTTGAGTTTCCCAAGATAGTCTCCACCCTACTGGAACCTCACATTTGTAAAACTGGCAGGATGGGGAAAGAAGAGTTGTTTCCATTCTACTGTAAATAGCAAGGTCAAATTTTCTTCTGGATTGGAACAACAGATCAACACCAAGCCATACTGCAAATGGAGGAATAAAGCCTAGAGGAGTATCAGCTCTGAAACAGGAATCAGACAAAAATAAAGAAAATAATTTTGCTACTTGAAAATCAGTTTTCAATAAACTCTGACAACCACCATTTGTGGATTGATAGATCTCTGGACTACAAAGCTATTGATTCATTCTACTTGCAACCATTGAACCTACTTTTGTTGCCACAAATAAATTTATAAGAGGACTAACGAGACTACATTTGTAATAATTTGGGTCACTCAAATTACCTTCTTATGAAATAAGATATGCTAAAAAAGTTGAACTTCATGTTACTACTCAGTGCTCACAAAGCTGGTTGTACAAACATTGAGAACTCTCCTGCAAAGCAGGTACCGTACTAATCTGTTTTATTATTAGAATGCTACTAAGGCTCAAAAGACCATTACAAGAGATAAGAGGCATCTATGAACAGAAGGTGGAAGAGTCAGTCTGAAGAAGACCTTACAGAACAGAATACTGAGTTGGTGGTGGATAAATTATCTAATACTTGAACACTGATGTTTTTAAAGTCCAGGTATAAGTGGATAATACCCAAAACCAACCAACAATAATGGACTATTAAATACCAGAAGTTTCAGAGGGTAGCTGAGTTAGTCTGTCTCAGAAAAAACAACAACAAATGGTCTGGTAGCACTTATAGACTAACAAAACAGGTAAATGGTATCATGAGCTTTCGTGGGCACAGCCCACTTCTTCAGATGACCGCAGTTATGAGTTTAGGATGTGTCCATCCTAAACTCATAACTCCAGTCATATGAAGAAGTGGGCTGTGCCCACGAAAGCTCATGATACCATCTACGTATTTTGTTAGTCTATAAAGTGCTACCAGACCATTTGTTGTTTTATTAAATACCAGTAATTCTCCATAGCTTACACCTTGCAGCAAAAAGATACTATTGGTCTTGCCTTGAGCTGTGTGAAGAAGCAGATATTACAGCCTCTCAATCTTCTTTGCCACAACAGGGACAATATGATGACGGCATCATCCTCTTGGGAAAATAAAGCTGCAAAAGAATTCACAGAAATTTATGGGTTAGTGAGTGGGAAACAATGCAGAAAATTACATAAAGAAGCTAGAAAAAACTAAACGGATTATTTGGAAGCAAAGCGAAGGCTTTGCAGCTGGTGTAATAAAGAACAGGAATTTGGGAGAGAAAAGTGGAGATGCTGAAAAACCACCCAAGATGAAATGGGTGATTTCTGAGAATCCTTCAAGGTGAGAAGTGAGTACACTCAATGGGCTTCAAGTGGAAAGTTATGTCATCAATGTACAATAATGGAAAAGATCTGATTTATGTTAAGTGCCTTTATAAAAAAAAAGCCCTTCTCAGGCACTATAGTACAGGTTGAACCTCCTTCATCTGGCACCATACGGACCTGACCAGTCCCAAACAAGGAGATTTGCCAGAACTGGGGAGGTCCCTCCCCTCATGGACTGTTCTGACCCACTGCCCCTAGTTAGGGCTCCAGCCCCTCCCCTCTGCTGCCTGGCCAGCCATGGCTCCCCAGGCTGGAGCTCTCTATCTACCCCAGCCCATGGTATCATGAGCTTTCGTGGGCACAGCCCACTTCTTCAGATGACCGCAGTTATGAGTTTAGGATGTGTCCATCCTAAACTCATAACTCCAGTCATATGAAGAAGTGGGCTGTGCCCACGAAAGCTCATGATACCATCTACGTATTTTGTTAGTCTATAAAGTGCTACCAGACCATTTGTTGTTTTATTAAATACCAGTAATTCTCCATAGCTTACACCTTGCAGCAAAAAGATACTATTGGTCTTGCCTTGAGCTGTGTGAAGAAGCAGATATTACAGCCTCTCAATCTTCTTTGCCACAACAGGGACAATATGATGACGGCATCATCCTCTTGGGAAAATAAAGCTGCAAAAGAATTCACAGAAATTTATGGGTTAGTGAGTGGGAAACAATGCAGAAAATTACATAAAGAAGCTAGAAAAAACTAAACGGATTATTTGGAAGCAAAGCGAAGGCTTTGCAGCTGGTGTAATAAAGAACAGGAATTTGGGAGAGAAAAGTGGAGATGCTGAAAAACCACCCAAGATGAAATGGGTGATTTCTGAGAATCCTTCAAGGTGAGAAGTGAGTACACTCAATGGGCTTCAAGTGGAAAGTTATGTCATCAATGTACAATAATGGAAAAGATCTGATTTATGTTAAGTGCCTTTATAAAAAAAAAGCCCTTCTCAGGCACTATAGTACAGGTTGAACCTCCTTCATCTGGCACCATACGGACCTGACCAGTCCCAAACAAGGAGATTTGCCAGAACTGGGGAGGTCCCTCCCCTCATGGACTGTTCTGACCCACTGCCCCTAGTTAGGGCTCCAGCCCCTCCCCTCTGCTGCCTGGCCAGCCATGGCTCCCCAGGCTGGAGCTCTCTATCTACCCCAGCCCTGTTGCTGCTGGGGACCACAGCTCCCTGGCTGCCGCTGGGGCTGGAGCCCTGTGGCTGGAGCTCCACAGCCAATGGTGGTCCCCCTCTACTGCCCGGCCACTGGAGCCAGAACTCCCCACTGTGCCGTTCATCACCCACCCTTGACACCAGGCTCCTGGCTGAGTCGCTGGTCCCCACTGCTGCACTCCTGCCCCGTGACCAGACCCTCCCTACACCTGGGCTCTGGGGTCCAGGAACATCTGTGGTCCTATTGGACCACAGATGTTGCCAGATCAGATGGTCCCAACTGGAGTTACAACTTGTATTGTCAGACAAAACTGAAAAGGACACAGTTTAATTCTACTTTGTGATTCTTCTCTGAAAAGTCACACTAAACATAGCATTGTGAGGTTGCATATTCATTTTCTCGCAATGGTATAAGATAGTCAATTTGTAAGTAAAATGATATTTTTCTAGATGTCAATCCCACCAACAATATGTAATCAGAGATTCAAACCTAGTACTTTCCTTCTTGTGAACTTTCACTGGTGATGATGCAGGCCAACTCAGGCCCATAGTGACTTCTGTGAAGTCTCACTGTCTTCAGAGGATTTGCATAGATGTAACTATGGGAAAACATAGGGTACGTCTAGACTACATGCCTCTGGCGACAGAGGCATGTAGATTAGGCTACCCGACAGAGTAAAATGAAGCGGCGATTTAAATAATCGCCGCTTCATTTAAATTTACATGGCTGCCGCGTTGAGCCGACAAACAGCTGATCAGCTGTTTGTCGGCTCAACGCGGCAGCCATGTAAATTTAAATGAAGCGGCGATTATTTAAATCGCCGCTTCATTTTACTCTGTCGGGTAGCCTAATCTACATGCCTCTGGCGACAGAGGCATGTAGTCTAGACGTACCCTTAGTCAATGATTTTCTTGGTGTACAAGAAGGAATAGAATCCAAGCCTTTTTGCTCAGCACCACTGGATCAGTACAGCTAACAGAAGTAATAGAAACTTATTTTTGCCACTGAGGTCAAGAAACTGTGAATACACACAAGCAGGAGATCAGCTGGATTTAAGAAAGCACCATTTTAAAAATCAGATTTCAGAGTAGAACTGGTCTTTAAAAGTAGTTAGGAAAAGAGGAAATGTTCTGGACAATGGCAAAGAGAGTTTATATTTTTCTGACCATATCTCTTTAACCAAGTGTTGTAGAAAGGAAACAGTTGTATAAAAAAGCCTTTCTGGAAGCAAAGATTTGGTAAAGCCATCTGACATTCAGCAAATCAGCAGCTGAACTATGAAGAATACATTCTTTTGGGTAAAAATTCTGCAGCTATTCTTGGCTCCTGAAAAAGCAAGACAACAGGCAGCACACCACTAATGTGGAAGGAGTGGTGAATTAAAAATGTCTAATATTACAGAACAGACATACTAAATTTGGAAAAAACAATCTTAACCTATTTTGGAATTTTTGGAGATTTATTCCCCAGTCATTGTTCCCTCTCTGGAGACTCCTGTTAAAATTATTCTGCTAGATAACTCAAGTCTGTGATGAAGTGCAAAGCTATAGGAGAAAAACAGTGAGTTATCAATATTTCTTTGCTAAGAAATAATTATACTACTACCAAAAGAGAAAACTATTTATCTGATAATGCATGTGACTTGGAGTGTGAATGGTGTGTTACATTTTTAAGAGAACACTGAGGGTATCTACTGTGTTAATATGTTTTTAATCTAAAAAACACTGCAGTTAAAAGTAAAATGTAAATGCAAGTCAAGCTGAGCTAATGTCAAATACAAGAACAAAGAGACACAAATGGATTGACAGGTAGGAAGAAGTATGTACCTTAGATATTATTTATTTAGAAAATCTTTAATTATGTAATACAAATGCAGTGAGAGAGAAACAACTAAAAGAAACAGTTTGAAAAGAAATCATGCAAAGAAAATTGCATATGGCTGCCAACCAAAAGCAAGGACAGACCAGATAAAAGGCTGCTTGGACTCATTCCATCTAAAACAACTAGTACCCTTAATTTTATCTTTTTACTAATTAAAGCTGTCACCTTCCTGATGATTCTGTCTCTTTTCTGTATGGATGTCTAAAAAGCAATCCCATTCCAGGCACATCCCATTTTCCTGGCACAGCCAGACTTAACTCTATCCATGAGTAGTCACATTGGTAAGCATTTTCATTTTCTGGGATTTAGAGATACATATTTACTGTCCTCCAAAAGGCTGAAAAAACCCTCTCCCACTTCTTTCCCATTTTGATATGTCTACACAGTATTTTGGAGTGAGACTCCCAGACTGGTATGAGAAACTAGGGCTGATGTGGTGCACTTTAGTGCTCCATTTGTGACTCTAAAAATTGTTAAAAGTGACAGTCAGTTTAGAATTTGAAAATAAAGATTTGAATGCTGTACAATATTAATTTAAATTACTATAAAGCTAAAACTACATTCACATAATTGTCAATAGTTAAAATAGCTCATTTTAACTAGGAGTCCAGCTCTTGATTTGCAACTTAAATGTTCTTAAATGTTCATTTAATAAAATAAGATTAAATCTCTTGATTAGATATGTTAGTTGTTTAACTGGTTACTTTGTTTTATAAAACAGACATTATAAAAGGAATAGTTTGTCTGGTAAAGATTCTAAACATGTAGGTAACCTAACTAAATACACAGGCTCTGAAACATTACCTGATTAACGGAGAGAGAAGAAGGGAAATAGTAGTTTTCTCTTATTGATTTTAAAATATTATTTTCAAATTAACTAAAGCAGCCAAAACCAACATCTGTGAGCAAAACTACTTAACAGCATCCCTTTCACAAGACATATTCTCTTCAGTTATTTCTTTTAGCTATCCTTTATATTTATTATAATATGATGAGTTGATGTATTTATTTTGTTTAAAATGTTGCATGTTCACAGAAAGCTTGACAGACATAGCACTAAAAGATAAATAGCCTTAACACAAAATAAACTTTACCTAAACTTTACTTTTACTGTACCTAAAACATTAACAAAGATTAACAGAATAACTCATCACTAACATGAAAATCATAAATTACCTTTGATTTATATTTAAGAAACCCACTGTTGGCCACTACAAATCTAGCTGCACAAGAGACCCTCGAGACTGTAAACAAGCCTTATCCATGTACGTATAGCATATCCTGAAAGCAGAGGTAAAAGGAACTTAAGTTTCTTGCAGGTACTGTCATGCTGCATTCCCTTTTCAGGTGGAGGCCCCTCAAGGCAGAGAGATGGGGTGCGATATGACAATACCTGCAACAAATATAAGTGTGGAGGGGGTCAGTGCAGATGGAGAATGGGGGTGTACCAGAAGTAAGGGCAAGAACTTGGGGGAAGAGGAGAAGCTCAGGGCAGAGGCCTGGGGGTGTAGGAGTCAAAGTTGGAGGGTATGAGGAGGGGCTTAGGGAAGGAGTCAAGATTGGAGGGTGTAGGGTGCAGGAATCAGAGCAGAGAGTGTGAGGGACTCAGAGCAGGGAGGATGTGACAGGTGCAAGAGTCAGGGCTGGGGTTGTGGGAAGATGTAGTAGTCAGGGTTGGAGATATGAGGAGTGGCTCAGGGCAGAGGGTTGAGGTGTGGGATGGGAGAGTGTGGGGGGGGGGAGCTCAGAGCAGGCAGGATATGGGGGTGTGCAAGATTCAGGGAAGGGAACTGGTGTGTTTAGTGGTGAGTGTGGGAACAGCAAGGGCACCATTTCAGGGGGCAAGAGGGCTGCAGTCGCACATACCAGGTCACTGTTGCTATTCCTGCTCCCTCTGACAAGGGACTGAGGAGAAAGTGCAGAGGCTGCTGAGTTGCTCTCCCTCCCAGCCAGCCA